TATATATATATATATATATATATATATATATATATATATATATATATATCACTTTTCATCCAAGCAAATTTTATATCATACTTATCCTTTTTTAAATTTATACTTTTTTATGTAATTCAAAAAAATCAATCAAAAACAGTAAAAGTTAAAATGTATTATAAGTATAATCTTATTTCTGTAAAAATGCTTGAAATTTTTATTCAAACCTTAAGAAAATGTAAAAATTTTATAAATTAACATGAACTTATTATACGAGTTAAAAGTGAAAAAAGAAATTTTATAATTCGAAGAGATAAAAGCAGGGATTTATCAAAATCATATGATAAATGATATTTATTTTCCGTAATAACTTTATATTAAATTATTAAATTGACCGAAATTAGGAATGATAAAAAAATATATTTTAATTTTCAGGGAACAAAATAAAATAATTAAAATATACAAAAAATGGTATTTAAATTGAGCAAAAATTTTATATCAAGAATCTTTCATTTTTGGCTCCAAGTAGAATTTTTTTTTTTAAGATAACATAATTTTGATCAATATAAAAATAAAATTTCTAATGTATAAAAAATATTTCAGTATTATTATAATTTAATTAAAAATTTGAAAATTAATAAAAAAATTCTTTGTCCCGAAAATTTATGATTAGAAAATTTATGAATATTAGAAAATTATGAAATTTTAAAAATTTATAAAATATATAGAGATATGTCATCAATCATTTTTAACCAAATTCACTTTATTTAAATAATAAATAAAATTTTTATCATTTAACATAAAATTTTTAATTTAAGAAAGTTATTTTTATAATAAGTAAAACATTTTCTCTATTATTTATATTTTGCGAGTTACAAATTAATATATAATTGATTAATTAATTGATCGATTTAAATAATTGATCATTTTAACCGCTAAGAATTCAAACAAAAAAAAATTTAGCTATTATATATCCCTATTAATTTAAATGATTAATGTTAATAATTCTCAGTTTTCTAGATTGAAAAATTTTGCTTGTGAATTCTAATAAAAATAAATGTAAATATGAAATTTAATCATTTTTCCTAATGCACTGCAGTTTTTTTATTAACTAAAATGAATCAATTAGGAAAATTTATATTATATTTAAAATTTTCATGCACAAATAAAAAAAACTTTTTCCAACTGAATAATTGAAGAAGCTTATTATTTATTATCGCAATTTTAGATATAAAATTAAGAAATATACTTTTCTAGAAAAGTATAAGATGCTTAAATTATTATTAATCATTAAACACGCGACATGAAATTTCATTTATATAAGAAAAAAAATTAATATCGATAGACAAAAAATTATAATATTATGTTCTATTTCTTTGTTACAATGAGAATAAAATACATAAAAATTCAAAAGCTCTAGTGAAATTAAAAACGTGTCCGATGATATAATCTATTACAAATTATATATGTTTTAAAAAAGAAGTTATTTTATAGCAAGTTTTTAAAATTATATTCTGATATATATATATATTTTTGTCATATTAAAAACAAAATAATTATAGAAATAATATTAATAATATTTTTTTCTAATTATCTGTAAATAAAAACAAATAATTATCTATAAAAAATCTCTTAAACGAAATTTAATCTTATATCGTCTAATCGCATTTTAAGCATTTTATATAAAACAATTGTAAGATATTCGAATTTAAATTAATATAATGTGCATGTTTTAAAAATATTATTTTTTGTATACTTTTTTCGAGAAGAAAAAATTAGAAAAAAAAAGAAAAGAGCAGATTCAATTTTCTCTCAAATGAATGAAAATAAAATAAAAATACATAAATGTAAATGTTATTTCTAAATTCCTTCATATAATTAAGCTAATATTATTATTATTGAAATTTTATAAAACATTAATAAATTTTAAATTTCTAAATTTTGCAATTTTTAATTATTATATTATACTTTATGTGAAATTTCACAATTTTAAAAGAATTATTTATAACTTAAATTTATATTATTATAAATTACGGTATATTTCTTTATTCATTATTATTTGTTATTATTATATCGTGCTATTATTATCTATTAATCAATTTGGATGATTTTTATATTTATATTTTAATAGATCTTTCGAGCATTTTACTCAATACTCTGACATATTATGACACATTATTATCACCGAAGAATTATATAGATTTATAGTAATTAAAGAAACGCATTGAAAATACTTCTCGAGTAAATGTTAATATTATTTGATAAATATGATATGATAAATTTTTTCTGATATAAATTATGATTTGATTACAGGAAATTTCGTTGGTCAATTATCAATTAACTTTCTTCTAGTTATAATGCAAATGGCATTAATCAATATATTCAATTAATTATTAGGTAAGTAAATGAATATAATATTTTTCCGAAATAAATCTTAATTATATAAATCTTATTTATAATACCCTTTCTTTTAAATAAAAAATATTATTTTTCTTATCATAATAATCTTTTTGGATAATATAAGTTACAATTAATTTTTTTAAATATCGTTAATTATTTTTTATTAACTTCTAGCATTTTGTTAAAAAAAATTAGATTAGAAGAAGATTAGAAAAACATAATTTTAATAATAAATATTTTTGTTATTTTTAATCGCTTCGAAGTTAGTTCTTCGTTTCGAATTTTAGAAATGATTTTATCTTTTAAAGTCGAATTATAGCAATTAAAAAATAACATGTATCTATTATTTTCGATTATTCTTGGAATCTGCAAAGTTTCATTCAAATCGAACTCGAACTTTCTACATTTTGTCCTTGTTAGAATTGCTAAAATTGTTATTGCAAAAATATTCTACAATTTCAAGAAAAATTAATTATATCTTATCCCCGAATTCAAAACTATTTATGTTCTCTTAATTTAGTAATTCTAAATTCATAAATTATATAATATTTGATTTCAGATTGCCGCCCAAAGTGAAATTCTAGTGAACACATATGAAGATTTGCCGTTTCGATCAGTCATCCGTATTACGTCTTATCCATAAATGCAGTGTGCCTAAATTGTATTACTATACCATTAAATATTGTTTCACGAAAGACAAGACAATGTCAAGATAGTGGATGTTAAATATCGATCAACTTTGGTGTTCATCGTTCATAAACTTTGTTTATGACTAATTATATATATGTTACATGAACATTTAAATATACCGATATACCGATATTAATAAAAATAATATAAGTAAAAATACTTTTTAACGTGCCGTTTAAAACATTATTCGTACTCATAATGAAATTCTAGTTTATCGTCATTAGCGTGGACAATATTTTAAAAACTTAAAGATGTAAAAAAACTGTTAATCGAAAGATGAGGAAAAAAAAAAAAGAAAAAATCTTTGCAACATAATATTGTAAATAATACTTAAAATTTAATCTTGTTATAGTTCAAATCATTATACAAATATTACGTGTTTGTTGCTTTTCGTATTATGCGATGTTCATAATCTATCGTTCAAATGAATAAACTATATAAAAATTTAAATATACGTACTTTATACAGAATATTAATACAATGTATATTTGGGAAATATCTTTCGGAGAATCAATTCTAAAGATTAAAAACAAACACAAAAGTGATTGATATATAAAATGTCGATCGAAACTTATTTATTAAATTATAAGTAATTTTACAATTAACAAAACGAAATGAAAATAAAATGTGACGATATAGTGATTTAATGACAATGGAGCAATCTTTCTCTCTCCGTGCTGCTTCGTTTAATGCAAATTTCAATCGCTTATAATTTAATTCATACATAATCTTTAACCAATATTTTTTTATTTGTAAACTTTTGTATTTCTTTTAAAATCGATCCTCCAAAATTAATATATATATATATAGGATATTAATATATTAATTATCTATATATATGTATATATAATATATCGTATTTAGATATGTATGTAGTAGTTTTTATATGTATATAAAATATTTATATAATGAAATACAGAAAAAAAAATAATACGAATATATTAATTATACATATATAATTGTAATTATTTTAATATATGTAAATAACTATGACAATATGTTATATCGAAATGCAAATGAAGATTTAAAAAAATAGAATGATAACATTTTTGCTCGAAAGAATAAATTATATATGTTTCTATAACAATATTGCGAATAATATACATATGAATTCTCATTGCAAAGCGTGACAATTATACTATCACTGCAATAAATAAAATATATATAAAATAGAAATAAAATATTAGAACAATTTCAATACACGAAACAATTTGATTGAATTTCATTTATCAATCGATTAATTTAAAAATTTAAAAATTTATTCAAGTATTTCTATTGTTCTATTATTATTTTATTACTAATCGATTTAATGAAATGAAAAAAAGTTAAGTTTAGTTTTATAGATAAAATATTCAATTATTATTTCATTTCTTTGTTTGAATTATACCAAAAGTGAAAAGAATAAGAAAAAATATGAAACAATTGAAAAATTCAAATCATGTACATCAAAATTTTCTAATTAAATTAAATTAAATTGATTTTTTCCATAGCAACATATGATTAATGACAGCAAAAATCAACGTTAACATCAGAATTATCAAACTAATTGATTTTATTTTTGTAAATAATAAAATTTGATGAAAAAATTATTGATTTTTATTCAGACAAAATTTTAAATTATATATATATTTTTTGGATATTTTGTATATATATATATTTATAAACTAGAGATTCCTAAAATAATATCAATATTTTCCTTTGCAAAAACTTTATCGTTTTGTAAACGAATTATTAAGAAAAAATATTGGTCAATCACGGAGTGCGTAGCCTAATCGAACTATAATAATAGCATAGGTTACGGTGATGAAGCACAAACAAATTCAAGTAACTTTGAAGAAAATGTTTTATATATAATTACATATTATATATAAACTATAATTCAATAGTTCTTTCGTAATATAATTCGATATAATTTTTTATCGATAAAATATCCATATTCATATATTATATCTCATATTCAATATATTTTCTATGACATATATCACTTGGATTTGTTTACAATGTTCAATTTACGGATGTTCTAATATTTTGAAAAATCCTGTATGATATAGAGAGTATATATATAGAGAGTGAATCAGAATAAATGAGAAATACGATAGGACCTGATTCTACGTAAAAAAATAAGTCAAAAAAAGCATAAATTTTTATTATTTAAAAATTAATTTTTTGAAAAAATTGAAAATCGAATTTGAAAAATTTAGCGATTTTTTGAATTATATGATTTCTTAATTATATTCAATCTTGACTTTTCTAAAAACATAGATCGAAGTAATAAAATTTTACTCTATTCTATATTTTTTATTTTCATATATAGAGTATTCATTTATCGATCGTTTATTTATATCCAAGAAGAATCAACCAATTTCAATTTTATTTAAAAAATTTTCATTATTCGAAAAAGCTTCAAATAAAAAAATTATTATTTTTTTAACGTAAAATTAACTATATTTCTCACATGTTCTGATTCATTTGTATATAATATATTAAATTATTTTCATAATACTATCTTAATTCCAATCATCTACATCAATATATTCAAGTATATCGATATACATGTATGTATAAATACTATATACGTATACCATATAGATAAATCCATGTAGTATATTAGACATAGCGAAAAGTTTTAACATTAATCTATCAAAAGCTAAGGTTTTTTCCGAATAAAAAAAATATTTTTTTATATCATTTAAAAGAAAGAAATAAAATATATTACGCTAAAGCGTTTGTTATTTAATCATTGACCAAATTTTGAAATTTAAAAAACAATCGAAATTGGATGGTAAATATAACGAAAAAAGAAAGAAAAAAGATCATAGCAGATGTTATATTTATAAATAAATTTTTTATAGCATTTCTAATCCAAACGCGAAAAGTTTATTAAACAAAGAGAAAAAAATAAAAATAAAAAGAATTTTTTAAATTATGATTTTATGTATATATTCAAATACACAAATGCTTAGATAAAAAAAAAAATTATTATGTTTGTAAACTAAAATATATTTCTGTATTAATAAAATCGCTAAATATACATGTCACCGAATGTTCATAAAATATTCATTTTTATCGTAATCGTACTATATCAAAGTATAATTGTAATTAAAAAAAATATTCGATATCAACACATAATCGATCATAATCTTTAATAATTCGATGCAATTATTATATAATCCTAATCATACTTTTTTGTTATAGCAAATGATACAAAAAAAATTTTTTTTAAATCTTCCGATCATACCATCAGTCAAAAAGATAATTTACGACATTATTATAAAAGTAAAAAATAATGAAAAAAATTATCGTGCATTTTCGCTGTGTTTTATAAATAAAAAATATAAAAATATAAATAAAAAATATAATAAAACCAAAAATATATGTATCGTTATTATTTTATAAATGAATCGAAGATACGCTATTCGTAATATAAGTTATTGAATTGAATAGCAAAAATATTTTTTGTACTTTTTAAATATATACTTTTGAAATATATGAAGAAAGGGAATAAAATTATCAAAAACATTTACCAAAGAAACGAAATTGTAAAATAATTTAAAGAAATATGGATATCGGAGTATTCAGGAATTTTTTAATTCAATAGAGAACGAATAAGTGGCGCAATCTGTATGGGTATCAAGGAATCAATAATATCGAGATTCGATCACTCTATTTCTTCACATTATTATTATTTTTTTTTTCTAATAATAATAATTATTTTGGAGTACAAGTAAATCGGAATATTTAATTCATGAGTTCATTAAATCGATAGGAAACGAATAAGTAGTGCTATAGATACGAGTGTTGAAGAATCAATCGAATCGATCATCCTTTTTTTTTTTAACTGTAATATATATATATAAATATCGATAGAGCATAAAAATATAGATGATTTAAGAATTATGATTTTTTTTTTATTTGAGATCGGTGAATTCGATTGTTCTTTTTTTTTAGGCAATAATACGTATGTCGATAAAGCATAAAAATATAATAATAATTATTTTTTTTATACAATAATTTATTCTATCTTTTAATGTAAGAATTACAAAAATATGTTTTATGTTATAAGTCTTATTAATCGAAGTATAATGTCATAATATAATATTATTCATATAAAATTTTCCAACTAATTTTAATAGTATCTAATATTATTTTAAAAAATAAAATTACATACTTACTTTAATGTTGTAATAAGTATTCGATACTCTTTTTTTATTATATATATTATATATTTATTATATAATATACTATACAATTTTTTTATATTTTTATCAATTTATATTTCATTTTAAAACTTGAAAAATATAAAATATATTCATGAAATAATAATAATTTATATAATATTGATTATCATATCTTTTTTACATTAAAAACTTGTTTCCACTACAAATAACTAAAACAAAATGAAAACTATTGAGAAATATTTTTATACTTTTATATCATTTTTATATCAGGTAAATAATAGACGAAAAAGAAATTGTTAAAGAAAACAGTAGTTATATAATAGTTATAATAACAGTTTTAGTTTTCTTAAGCAAACTATAATCTTTTTAATTGCCTATTCACATATTTAAAGGATAAAAAAAAATCAATCGATACTTTACTCTTAGCGCATTTAAGTATGAATAAATAAATACCTAAATTATAACTTATGCCATTCATTTTACTGCAAGTTGTAACTAATACTAAAACCTTTTTAACTTCAAAAACATTTAAAATAAAATAAAATCAATAAAAGTGAATAAACAACAGAAGAAACCAGTTATTCTTCCATGCTATACAATGGTTGAATTATTGACCTATTACGACTTTACCAAGTTTCTCTTAACAACATTAGGACTTTGGCCATATTATAACGCAAAATATAGAATTTTGTATAATAGTATCATCAGCTTCATTTCCTTTTCTTTTATAGTTGTTCAGGTATGAGAAAATAATAATTTTATATATTTTAAATAATTAATTATTATTTTCTTACTTCTTTTGATTAGATATATTCTTCATTATTAAACAAGTCTCATTCTTATTTTTTATTCATATAATATTCTACAACTATATATATTATAAAATATAAGTGTTGTGTTTATTCAGTTAAAATTTGTGCAATGTCTTACATTAAAAAAATATTAAATTTTATTATATACAGTGTCAAAAATATTAGAATTTCTAAGCTGGAGATTCCTAAGATAATTTTAAGCAACATTTTTCTTTGTAAAAACATTCGTTACGGCATATTAACGAGTTATTAACGAAAAACATTGACGAATCACGATGTGCATAACCTAGTTAAACCGCGACAGAAATATTGGCTACGTGTTGCGACCAAGCACAAGTCCAAGCAATGTATCTCACAGTATATTCAATAGTATATTGAATATATTTTTTCATCGCTAAAAAATTATATTGAATTATATCACGAATGAATAAATAAATAAATATAATATTCAATACATTTTCTTTGACACATATTGTTTGTTCGTATTTGATCAACATGTAATATTATTGTCACGATTCGATTAGGCTATGTGCTTCGTGATTGGCCAGTATTTTTTGTTAAAATATAAATAATAATTCGTAAACAATTCCGTTTTTGGAGAAGAAGGAAAGCTTTTGTAAAGAAAAATGCTGCTTGAAATTTAAGAATCTTTATTTTATAAATGTTCTAATTAAAAACATTTTTGGAATATTATAATATATATCTCGTATATATTATTATATCTCGTATATAATATACATAATTTCTATAAAATTTGATTATTTCTAGTATTTAATTTTCAAAACTAAAAAAAATAAATTGAAATATTTGTCGATGTTAATCATGAGTTTAAGCTCCTTTATAAAATACAATATAAATTGGTATCAACTTGCAATAGTAAGTTTTCAATAATATATTTAAATTATAATATACAAAAAAATTATAAAAAATTATTATATATATTAAATTAATATACAAAAAAATTATAAAAAATTATTATAAATATAGGTTAAAGAGTTTATGGATAAAATAAAATACGATTGGGAAATAATTGAAATGAACAATGAAACACTTGAAATTATGAAAAGACATGCTTGCTTAGGAAAATATTATGTATTACGATTTGCATGTAAGAAATATATTTTGAGTTATAAAATGAATTTATATATTCTCAGTTGTATAATTATATATGCATATTACAGCAATTTTCTATTCATCATTAGCCATCGTGGTATTTTGTCATATGTCAACCTGTATTTTAGATAAAATTCTGCCATCGAATGAAACACATTTAAAAAAATTTCCCATACTGATGGAATATTCAATTCTTGATGAAAAATATTTTTTATTTACAGTTATATATTTATATGTATCATTGTTGTTAATAATAACTATATTTGTAGCAACGGAATCATTAATGATTTTGTGGCTACAACATGCTGCCAGCTTATGTGAGATTATAAGGTATAATATACAATAATTTATTTTATGCACTCTTTATTTGAAATCAATCAGTGATCCTATTATTAATAAATTAATATTTTCTTGAATAAATATAATATGTGGCTTGCAACATTTTTTATTCAAATTTATATTTTGAAAGTTTTTTTAGATCACTAAAAAAAAAAAATAATAATAATTTTTCATAGAAATAAATCTAATTTAATTCATATTTTTTTCTAAAGAAAGTTAATTATTATTATTTTTTTTCATTAATTTGTTTTTGCCAAATTTTTCTAATCCAAACTTGTATCATTTAAACTTTCACAAAAAATTAGTATTATTTTCGTTTTTAGCAATTCAAAATATTTCATATATTTTATAATACGATATATTTTAGATTTAGTTATATATAATAGAAAATTGATAAAAGAATATTTGTTTATTTTAAATAAAATCTATATTAAAATTTATAATAATATTTATATTATTAAAACAAATAAATATCATTATAATAACTAATAATTTGTTAATATGATAAACATTAATGTACATGATAATAACTAAATTCTAGTATCGAGATAAAATTTTATAAAAATCAATATTTTAATTTTTTTTATATATATAATTTTTTTTTATATATATAAAAAATCGCTTTTAATTTTCCAAATATTCATAAAAAATTGTTAATATCATTATATATATATATATACAATAAGTACTAATATGTATGTGTTCATATATATATATATATATATATGTATTACTACACGATTATTCCTTATCATTCTACATATATATGTAAAGAATATTTATAAAAATATTTATAAAAATGAATACTTTTTCAGAATGGATTTTAAATATCAAAACGATGAATAAAATTCATAAATATATATTGTATAATATTGTATGATAATCTGTCTTATCGAAATCTATCATCATAACAAGTCCATGTTGTTGGAGCAAATCATAACACAGTCCCATAAAATTTTGAATTAAAAAAATTGAATGTTTTTGAATAGCTTGCTTTTTTTAATTATCCTTAATGTTAAAAAAGTCATTAATAATATTTGAATTCTACAAATTGTTAAACGTATTGGTGAATCAATCGATAAATCTTTATTTCTATTTTAATTCTATATTAATTGTACTCTTATAGTTCTTATCTTAATAGTTCTTATTCTGATCTAAAATCTAATCTGAATCAAAGAGAAATAATAATCAAAACTAAACATTCAAACAATTCGAGCAAGGAATTTCTAATCCATAAAAATTTTTAAATTGATTATTTATTAGGGTTATCATTTAAAAATAAATAATGAAGATATACAAGCTAATTTAACTACTAATTTAAAGAAAAAGAATTCGAGATTCAAATGCAAAAATATTAATCCGAAATGGAATCTTAATAAACTTCTAATAAATCTCCCTAATAAAAAATAATAATATTTGTTAAAACTTTATAATTAAACAACTATTTTAAGAAAAATAAGGATTTATTTCCATCAAAAAATTATTTCCATATTCCAATTATAAAAGAATGTTTACGATTATTTTGATCGCCAATCCTAATAAAAATCAAACAATGCTAGAAAATTATTAATTTGTATCTTTAATAAAAATTATATAATGAAAAAAATTATTAATCATATATTTGGAACTATATATTTTTAATTGAAGTCATGACTTCATTAGATTTACACTTAATATAAATAAATTACTATCTTTTTTTCAAATGGTTTCAGATATCTCCATTTTACTCCAGACCAATTAATAAAGATAAAAGCCAATATATGTATATGACTTTATTTTTAACATTATAATTGTAATCTTAGATTTAAAGAACATTTGAGACATATGCAAGCAATTGTTATCCATTGTTAAGATATTCGATCTTTAAAGTAACATATTAACTTTTATAAAGAATTTTATAAAGATTAAACATATAAGAATATGGAATAAGAATATGGAATATTCATAATTCAAATATAGAACTGTGTTAAAATTTTAAGTCTTATTACTTTGTTTTCAATAGATCAATTAAAAATTGAAATCATATTATTAGTAATCCGATTATTTAAAATTTATTTCTTTGCCGATAATTTGACCATTATATGTAATAGAAAAATCTATAAACACTAGAAGACTTTGAAATTTGTGTTAAATGAATTATATAGGTAGTCAAATTCTTTAGAATTTAAATACTTCCAAAAGAATTAAAAAATATTGTCATCTCCAGACAAAATAATATAGAATTATCATTTACAGATAATACTAAAATTAAGCAAGTGAACATTATCAAAATTTTAGGACCAATCATTGATACAAAATTAACTTGGAAATATCACAAATTAAAAATTAAGATACCATCTAGCTATTTTAAAAATCATTAGCAAATCACTAGCAAAAAACTAAGGAAATCTTTAATATATATATAATTCTGTAATTTAACTTTAGGAAACTTTCAAAATCAATTCTATTTTAAGTATCCTTAAAAAACTAATGAATCATTTACAATAGAATGAAAAATTTTCTGTATCAAATTAAAAACGATCTATTAATAAATCTATATCTATTAAAAATATCTATTAATAAATCTATATCTATTAAAAATATCTATTAATAAATCTATATATTTAATTACTTCTAAACGATTTAATAATAAATATCATCGATATATCAACTTCTTAAAATCATTCTATTACAAAATATATTCTATTACAAAGCATAAAACATAACAAGAATAAACATTGAATCTTCAATGCCATTTATAAAAGATTATCCAAATCTTTTTATATTATTATATAAGAATATGTATCAATGATAAATAGATATTTTTAATTTTCTTTTACGGATTTACAGTTTCTTTATACAAAATGCTACTCTAAAGAGTTCTAAAGATCATTTTGATAATAATATAAAAAGGTATATAATAAAAGCTGTAATTATACATAGAAGAGTGATACAGTCAGTATTGTTTTTCGTTTTACATGCAATATATTTAATGGAATATCAATAAATCAATATTAATCAATATTGTTTTTAAAGATTTTTACAAGATATTCGTGATTATAATGCAATAACGTATTGCGTTCTCCTTATACTCGCTATCACATCCTTGGGCATTAATTTCTTTCGTGTAAGTAAAACTCTTCTATATTTTTTAATTGCAAAATAAATTACAAAAAATATTAAATAATGAAGATATTTCGAAACAAAAAATAAAAAAATCCAAAATATTTTCATTTATTTTTCAGTTATCACAATCCATTCTTGTGCTAACTAAAATCGAAGAAACAATTATCAGTCTTATGTGTATTATTTGCGAATTGTCATATATGTATTACATGAACTATATATGTCAGCTAGTATTGGATTGTTTTAATAATCTTAACATAACTATGTAAGCACTATGTATATTTTATTAACAATTTCGACAATATTAAAGAAAATCTTCTTTGCAATAAATAGTTATATATTTGAAGAAAATTGTAAAATTTCAAACAAGATTTACTGATAATATTGTTCATCCGATTTCGTCTAAATCTTGCCGATTCATGCTGAAATTCAGATTCTTAAATTAAGATTAAATGTTGTACATTAATAAGTACATAAATACATATTTCTCATTTAAATGAGTTTTCATCTAATTATATTTCTATTAGTCTTTAAAATTTTTGAAACTTAATATAGCTATTCTCTATATTGATAACAAACGTGATAAAAATCGATGTAGATGAATAGTTTACAGAAATATTATGATAATTATTATTTATATATCAAATTTTTCTGGCAAATTAGTTTTTGTTATTTCTTTACTCATAACTTTTTAAAATAATATAATTGCATTCATTTTACTCTTCTGAATTCTGTATTTCCTTACTTTATTAATATTCATATTTATTTTGTTCTATCAAATTAATGCAAGATTAAAAGAACTTAACAAATCATCGCAAATCGTTCATCTGCATCAGATATATATATCTATTAATAATAAATATTATTAATTTTTTTATAATTATGATCATTTTCAGATTTCACACGAATTGGTATAAAATGTCTGTTCCCATCCAAAAATTGATTTTAAACATTATGTTAAATTGCAACAAACCACTGTTACTTACTTTCCTCAGTGTTTATTGTCCAACAATGGAAGGTTTTGCATCGGTATCTTCACCATTATTTTATAATCAATATTTTTTATTGTCTTAATAATATATATTTTATCGACACTTATCTTTTAGTTATTAAAAATGTCATTATCTTATTTCATGATGATATCATCTATGCAGTAAGGATTTTTTAAACAATGAAAACACGAAGAATAATATTTATATTAGTATTATAATAATAATAAATTAAATAAAGTAATTAATTTCTTAATTTATGACAAATTTTTTTATTTGAATTTACTAAAATCAAACATGATTTTTTTGTATAATGGACAAAATATTCACACAATAACAATAATAGTCTAAACATTTGTAAATAGAGATACCCTAAACACTTAAACTATTACTGCATTTATAAATAAATTGTTCTGTCTGATTGTCTGTTGATTATCTGCATGAAAATATACAATTTCTAAAAAATAAAAAATTATCAATAAATTGGTAATTTCTGAAATAATTTCAAGCAATTTTTTTTGCAAAAACTTTCGTTACAACTTTGTTAATTATTAGTTATTAGAAGAAGTTATAGTTAGAAGTTAGTTATTCTCTTTGTATAAGAACTGGTTATTGCGGATATAGACTATAGAACTACTACGATCAAAATCAAACAAACAAATGTATACATATATATCAATTATAACAATATAAATCGTTTCTAACAAATGAACAATAAATAATACGTATTTGGAATAAAAAAATAAAAATAATAAATTAAAGTCTACATTAAATTGAAAAACAATTCACTAAATTAAATAAATAAAAGAGAATAAATAAAATTAATCAATAATAAAATTGAATTTCAAATTGAATTTTGAAATGTATCACTAAGTCTTTGATATTTTTTTCTGGGTATTCTTGCTTAGCATTGAAAATAGCATTTAAAATATATTTAAGATAGAAAAATATTTAATCTACTAAGATTTTTAATAGATACATAACTAAACTGATTAATCATGAAAAATGACACATATAAAGATAATATACCGTCCGATCAGTAATATCTATAATTAATTCACCAACACTCATCAACTAGTCATTTATAATAGTAGGAAAATTAAATTTAATTTTTTTTAATTTTTCTTCATTTATATTTTAACATTAAATAATTAAATTTTATTTAACATTTGTATTTCTGTTTAAATTGAACTTTGACTTTAAATTATGATTTTTATTTTTAAGCTTTTGTATATTATAAAATCTATAAATCTTTTTCTCTTTGTATAAGAATTCTTAAAAATAACTTAAAAACTTTTTTTTAGGAAGACAATAGAATTGATATATTTTATGAAAAAATCTATTAAATAAATAGATGCTTTGATTGATAAAATCTATGATCATTGGACATAAAATTAATAACTTTTAAAATTTATTGTTGATTTAAAAAAAAGATGTATTGATTGTTAGAGAAAGATTTCATATTAAGAAAATATTAAAGCAAGTTTAATTTTTTATTCAATAAAAAACTTTTTAATTTAATTAAATTTTTCCTTGTGAAATAAAAAATTAATTCGAATTTAATTTTAATTAATTTATTTTTGTATATCTCTAATAAGTTATTGAATAATAATTCAATACAAAAAATACGAAGTATTCCAAAAATGAGAACATCTATTAATATATATTATACTAAAGATTCTTGAAGTAATTTCGAACATTTTCCTTTGCAAAAACTTTCATTACAGTTTACAGATTCCAATATTTTTGAAATTATACATTCTTTAGTTATTATATAGATACGGTCGTCTCGTTGTATTATATGCAATAATCGTACTATTATGTACTATTTAAATTTTTATATTTACATTTTTCTTTTTAAATTTCATCATCATAAAAAGTAATTTATAATATTATTCAATTACTTGTTTTACTTTTACTGTTATTTATTTATTCTATATTGAATATTTGAATCCATTATAATCTGATACATAAAAAAATGAAAAAATTTGACGATTATATTAAAAATAAAAAAATCTTGTGAAATAATTTATATATATAATTTATTTTTTTTTCTCTTTATTCCCATCTACGTTGATCCATTATTTAATAAAAAATGGAAATATATAATATAAATTTCCTAATTTTTAAAAATTTAACAATGAAAGTCAACATCATAACAAAGCTGTATTTATTAAAAACAAAAGTATTTATTTTATTGTTTTTATATCGTCGTATAATTATTTAGATTGCTGATTAAAATTTTACATTAAAAAACAAATTTGAAAAAATTTTAAGATATTAATTTTTTTATTTATAACTTTTTTTAATCATATAGACAATTATTAAATATTTTACTAGATGATAGCGAAAAAATAACTTATGAAAAGAAACAACTTTTATCTGAAAAACTTTTTCTGTATTTCTTATAATATGCGAATTATAACATAAAATCAAAAAATAACTTAATTTTCAAAGATTGATTTCACAACCTTATGAAAAGATTGATTTCACCACCTTAAAAAATAAAGATTTTGGATAGTCAAAAAATTGCATAATATCTATCTATATAAATATTATATCTCAAAAATATAATAATTTTTTGAATTAGAAATTTTTCCTTATTAGATATAACTAATGTTAATATAATATAGAAATTATATTGTATGTAGATATATATTATTTCTATATAATCACTCTCCATATATGCGATATTATTAATAGAACCATCAATTCTAACGAATATGATGATTTTTTCCAATATCCTTTTTGTCATCATATTTGCTGTCTATTATATCATTATTATTGTTTAACAAACTTAAACTTAAATGATTTAATATATTTTTTCTATCTATATCTTTATATATGGTTTTATTAATACATCCGTCAACATAATATCATGTATTAATGTATCATAATATGATTTCTCCATTTTCGTATGCTTTTCTACAAAAATAATATCTTATGTTTATGTTTATTATTTCGATTATACAGAATATTTGCATAAATATATTTTAACTATCACATAAAATTTTTTTAGACTAGGTATTAAACTATATTAATCTTTAAACTATATCTTAATCATTTTCTTAAATATATATAGTTTTTTAATATTTAAGACCATATATTTTTCATTCTAAATAGATTATATTTATTATATTTATATATTTATATATTTATATGGTTTCGCCGCTGCTGAAGTAAGTCGCTTGTCGATCTAATACCGGTGGCGATGTCTTTTTTGGAAGACTGTGTCCCAACTCAATATCACTGTGTCCGACGGTCGGAGGCACAGTGTCCAATAACGATTGATTCAATTTGTGACTACGACCTATCTGACGGAGAATCAGTGCGGTAGTCGTGACTGCCCGAGAAGTATTTGGTAGTGTGAACTGCCCGAAGGTCTAATTGGTAGTGAGTGTTAGCCAGGAGGATCGCATGGTCGACTCTCTTCCTGGCTGATTGGGATTCCTGTCCTAATTATGAGTGGGAAAAATATCGATGCTGTAATGGGCATCGACATTCCCTGCTTCGAAATATAAGTCCAGGGCGGGAGGTCTTGATCCAAGACACTCGACGATTTAGGCGACATAAACATAAACATAAATAAGAGTTGCAGCTGTCCCTGCTTAGTGTCACTGGCGCTTCGTCGTCGCAGTCGTGAGGAAGACCGTAACCGAAACTTTCTCGAGTGTCCTGTTTATAGATCGCGCTAACGCTCGCGACCATTATATATTTAAAAATATTTCCATGGATGATTATTTTTTTGTTCTCAAATTATAATTATTTCTCCAGTTAGAATAATTACATTGCCATAATTCTATCATTATAAATAATGTATATTTTTAATGTAATAATGTAATAATTTTCTATCATTATTGTCTCCTGCATCTACATAAGCTTTGAGTTCTTAGATTTCTTAAAACAAAAATTCTTTATACTTCATTGAATAATCTGTAATACTTTTTAAGATTTTTTTTTTTTTTTGCACATTTGCAGTGAATTGTAGGACTCGAATAAAACTACTTCTGTATGTTGCAATATCGGAGTGATAATTAAATAGAATAATCCGCTTATTAATTTTTTATAAAGAATTTGCATCATTTGATTTCTCTCTGATGTTTCTTTCCCGATTTTCAGTCCAAATTTCACAAACATTAATATTAGTTTACAATTCTCAAATTTTTCTAATAATTTTAGAATATATTTATTTTGATTTATCTTATATCGCTTCTTATATCACTGTTTCTTATAATTCCTTTATAATTCATTAATTCCTAAAATACTGCTAAGTGGATCTTAATTTTTTATATTATGTAAAATTTTTATTTTAAGGTATTTTTAATTATATTGAATTTATTTAAATCATTGGATATGATTAATCATCTATATAAGAAATATTATCTACATAATGATTAATTTCTTAATATTAAAATTAACAAATGCATAAAAGTCTATATTAGATTTTTGCATATTCATATTAGATAAAAAAGATTTAATTTCTCTAATTTTTATGTCTTAAACTGTTTTAATTCATATAAGAATTTTTGATATTTAATTTTTATATTTTGTTATAAGAATAGTTCAGATTATTATAAATATAGACGATTTCTTTTAAATTACTTTGAATGTAACCTAATATGACATCTAGTTGATATATATTAATGTATATCGTTTCCGAAGCAATTAAAAGTATTCATATCGTCTTATATTTTGCCTAGAATATACTTTCTCATAATCTATACCATATTTTTGTTCATAATTTCGAGTTCGTAACAATTTTACTTTAAATTCATCTATAAGTGCATCATGATTTCTTTTTATTTTAAATACTTATTTATTTAATAAGATTTTTTAATTTTTATCAGTTTTAATTTCCATATTCCATTCTGCATTAGCATATTCTGCATTTCATATTCTATGTTCATAATCATCAATAGTCAAAATTGTTTATCACTTTTATTTTCAATTTTATTTGGAATTGATAATCGATAAATTATCTTTGAAATTATTTCAATAATCTTTCTTTTCTTATCTTTATCATTCTATTACATCTTTTAACTGATGCTTGTTTTATCATTTAAGTATTTTTTCATTCTTTCTTTTCTTCGAAAATTGTGTCTTCTTTTTTCTTTTCTGATGATATTTTATCATCATTTATGTTTTTATATTATTATTATT